CCATATCCCCACCCCATATCCCCGCATCCCTATATCCCCACCCCCCCGCCCCCCATATCCCCCCGCACGACGGTACCCGGTGGCTCCGGGCGGAGCGGCGGCTGCGGGAGAAGCGCGGTCGGGCCCCGGAGCGCCGCCCCCGGGCAGAGCGCAGCCCCCGCCCCACCGCGCCCCGTCCCCGGAGGAGCCCTCAGCCCCGGGGCCGCCCCTCCTTTGTGTGCGGCGCCGCCGTCACCGGCACCGGAGCGCCGGGAGCACCGAACCGGGCACCGGGAGCCGAAAAAAAGGGCACCGGGAGCACCGAATCGGGTAACGGGAACACCGGGAGCACCGGAACGGGCACCGGGAGCGCCGAACCGGCATCGGGAGCGCCGGGAAGACAGAACCGGAGACACCGGGAGACGGGAAAGGGGAACCGGGAATACCGGGAGTGGGCAAAAGGGGAACGGGAGCTGAGAAACGGGCGCCGGGAGCACCCGGAGCACCGGATCCAATCACTAAGAGCACCGAATCAGGCACTGGGAGCGCCAGGATCGCCAGGATTGGGCCCTGGGAGCACCGAACCGAATATTGACAGCACCGGGATCACCGGAATCGGGCACTGGGAATCGGGAAAAGGGCATCGGGAGCACCGGATCTGAGCACCAGCGGCACCGGCACCACCGGAACCGGGCAGTGGGAGCACTGGGAGCAGCAGAACTGGGAGCCAGAAGCCAGGAAAAGGGCAACGGGAGCAGCAGAACCGAACACCGACAGCGCCGGGAGCACCAGGATTGGGCACCGGGAGCAGCAGAACCGAACACCGGGAGCACCGGGAGGGCACCGGGCGGAGGGCGCGGCCCCGAGCGCCGGCGGCCCCATGAAGGAGCCCGACGCCATCAAACTCTTCGTGGGGCAGATCCCGCGGCACCTGGAGGAGAAGGACCTGAAGCCCATCTTCGAGCAGTTCGGGAAGATCTACGAGCTGACGGTCATCAAGGACAAATACACCGGGATGCACAAAGGTGCGGTGCCGGCGGCGGGGATGGGGAACGGGAACGGGGATGGGGAGCGGGCAGCAGGAGCTGCGTGCGGCCGTGGGGCCTGAGTGTGGCTCCTGGGCACTGGGAATGGCCCTATATACAGCCCTACATGCAGCCCTATGGACGGGTACAGCCCTACATACAACCCTATGGATAGGTACAGCCCTATGTACAACCCTACAGTATGGGTACAGCCCTACGTACAGCCCTATGGCATGGGTACAGCCCTACATACAGCCCTATGGCACGGGTACAGCCCTACGTACAGCCCTATGGCTAGGTACAGCCCTATGTACAACCCTACAGTATGAGTACAGCCCTACGTACAGCCCTATGGCACAGGTACAGCCCTACATATAGCCCTATGGCATGGGTACAGCCCTACATACAACCCTATGGATGGGTACAGCCCTATGTACAGCCCTATGGCACGGGTACAGCCCTACATACAGCCCTATGGGACGGGTGCAGCCCTACATACAGCTCTATGGACGGGTACAGCCCTACGTACAACCCTACAGTACAGGTACAGCCCTACGTACAGCCCTATGGATAGGTACAGCCCTATGTACAACCCTACGGTACGGGTACAGCCCTACGTACAGCCCTATGGCACGGGTACAGCCTTACATACAGCCATACATACAGCCCTATGGACAGATACAGTCCTACATACAGCCCTATGGATAGGTACAGCCCTGAGTACAGCCCCATAGGCCCACAGCCCCACAAGTAGCTCTGGAGCCTGAGAACAGCCCCACAGCTGCAGTACAGCACTACAATCTGGGTATGATTCGCTTTTATGGGGTGGGGGTTGTACCTTATAGGGCCAGGGGTGCGGGTGGGCCCTGTGGAGCTCTGTAGGGCTGTGGTGGGGGTGTTGTGTGGGGCAGTGCCCATATGGATGGTGTGGGGCGGAGGTGGTGAGTGGGGTGTGATGGTTGTATGGGGGTGCAACGTTGTGCGATGGTTGTGTAGGGTGAGATGTAGTGTGGGATGTGTGCAGCGGTTGTGTCAAGTGGATTGGGTGCGTGTGGGGTCTGGTGGTTGTGTTTGGGGTGTGCAGTGGTTGTACGGGGTACGATGGTTGTGTGTGGGGCGTGCAGCAGGCATCTGGGGGTGTTGTGGTTGTACGTGGAGTGTGGGATGGTTGTATGGGGCTGTGATGGTTGTATAGGGCTGTGATGGTTGTATGGTGTCTGATGGTTGTACGGGGCTGTGATGGTTGTACGGGGCTGTGATGGTTGTATGGTGTCTGATGGTTGTATGGTGTCTGATGGTTGTACGGGGCTGTGATGGTTGTATGATGTCTGATGGTTGTATGGTGTCTGATGGTTGTATGGGGCTGTGATGGTTGTAGATGGCGCTCAGGGTGGGTGTATGGGGGATGCTGGTTGTAGGGGTGCCCGGCAGTTGTGTGATGGCTGTATTTGGGGTGTTGTTGTGCTGTGAGGTCCACGCAGGCCCTGAGG